CAGGGCTTGGTGCCTCCACGTGGTCCTGTATCTGCTGGGTGTCGGGCAGAGGGAGGGGTCTGGGACCCCCATTAGCCTCACCCCAGCCCTCTCCGTGGCTCCATCCCTCAGGAAGGCACGCCAGGGTTGTTCTTCATGCAGGGTCCCTGCGGACATCCCAGGCTCATGACGCACTCCATTCGAAGACCAGGGCTGGGTGCTGGGTACTAGGTGCCAGGTGCTGGGGACTGAGTACTGGGTGTTGGGTGCTGGGCACCAAGTGCTGGGTACTGACTGCTGGGTGCCCACGGCTGTGCCTCATCATCCGGGCTCCCCAGAGGCCATCAGGAGGCCCTCAGGTGACCTTCCTGGGGCCCTGCCGCGGGGGTTGGCAGGCGGCCCCCGGACCCCAGGGCTGTGATTCTGGGTCTTCTGGGTTTCTCCTCAACTGAAGCTGCTGCTGGCCGTTTTGGCCTGAAGATTCCTGTTGTCCGGGGTGCTGAGATGCCCCAGAAATAGGAGGGGGCCAAGGGGGGAGCAGGTAGCCGGTGAGGCCCATGCGCTGAGTGGGGGGAGAGGGGAGGCCCTTGCGAGCAGGGGGGAGCATCCTCGGGGCGCAGAGAGCGCTCAGGGTGGGGGACACGAGCGACAGTGCAATAAAGGGACGTGTGGGTCGGGCGGAGGGGGGCAGACACCACTCCAGGAAATGCGCTCTGGGTGGACGACGCTGTCACGCGTCCTACACGCTAGGCCAGCCCCCAGGGCAGAGCAAAGGGCAGAGGTGATGCTGTCACAGCCTGGCAGGGCGCGGGCTGGGGCGGGCCGGGAGGAGGTGGGCAAGTTCGGGGGTGGCGAGTCCCACCCAGCCTGCACGGGCACGTCTGCCTGCCGAGGCTGGGAATATCCTCGCAGGAATTGCTGTCTCGAGTTTTTTTCTTTGTTTGGGGCCACACCTGGCGGCGCTCAGGGCTGACACCTGTCTTTGTGCTCAGAGATAGCTCCTGGTGGGGCTCAAACCCAGGTCCAGAATGTGCAAAGCCAATGCCCTCCCTGCTCTGCCATCCTTCCGGCCCCCAGGGCATTGTGCTCTGGGCGGCTTATGTGGGTACAGTTGTATGTGTGAGCACGGCTGGGGGCAGCGGCGACAGGGACCAACCTGCCTTCTCTCTGCTGCCCGGAGGAGGGGGGAAGGGGACGCCCCACGTCAGTTCATCTGGTGGGGCTGGAGTTAGAACACAGTTGGGAGGGGACCAGGTGGGCCCACTCAGGCTGAGCCACAGCATGTGGGAGAGACTAGGCGTGTGTGGGAACATGTGGAAGTGTGTGGAAGCATGTGGAAGCATGTGGAAGCATGTGTAAATGTGCGGAGGCAGTAGAAGTGTGTGGAAGCATGTGGAAGCGTGTTGAGGTGTGGAGCATGAAAGGATCTGAGAGGGCTGCCCAGAGCCCACCTGACTCATGTTGTCTCCTTGGGAACCGGAACTCGTCGAGGAGGTGAAGGAGGAACCCTGCAGGCAGCAACACCCAGGGGATACTGACCCTGGGCACTGACCGCAGGACACTGACCAGTGGGCACTGGCCATGGGGCACTGACCATGGGACACTGACCATTGGGCACTGACCAGGGGGCACTGTCCAGGGGGTACTGACCGCAGGACACTGACCATGGAACACTGGCCAGGGGCCACTGACCATGGGACACTGACCAGGGGCCACTGACCATGGGACAATGACCGGGGACACTGACCACAGAACATGACCATTGGACATTGACCAGGAGGCACTGCCCATGGGACACTGACCAAGGGGCACTGACCTCAGGACACTGACCATGGGGTACTGACCACGGGACACTGACCATGGGACACTGACCACAGGGCTCTGATCATGGGGCACTGACAATGGGGCTCTGACTATGGGACATTGACCTCAGGACGCTGGCCATGGGGCACTGACCACAGGGCTTCTGGTAGCCTCAAAGCCACTAGCAAGGCAGCTTTTGCTTAAGCACAGGGACGAAGGGAAGACGGGCACTTGGCCTGTGGCCTCTCTGGGGAAACACCGACCAGAAAGACTTTGTGATGAGTGTTTTTGTGTAATTCAGAGCCGGTTCCACTCAGGCACTTTTCAAGGACCTGGGTTCTTCAGAATGTTTCCCTCCCACTTTACCTGGAGAAATGAACATGCTTTTATCTCATATTAGAGTAAAATGTTACGCTCTTGTGTATCTTTAAGGTTTATTTTTGCTTGGTGTGTTTAGAATGGATTATACGGAACCTCTTATGGTTGTAAAAACAATATGTTCATTTCAGAAAATATGAAGAAGTGTAAAGACAAAAAAAATTAAAAAATAAACACCAAGCCCAGAGTCAAGTTGACATTTTGGTGGTAAATGCAGATTTTCTTCTTCGGGATTTCACTCTTCTTTCCCTGCCGTGGAGAGCCTCCTGTGTGGGCGGGCGTGTTGCTCGGAACTGCTCTCCCGTACTGTCTGTCAGACACTTTAACATTCTAAGGGAACCACTTTAAGGGAAGTTGGAAGTAGCTCTCTCCGGGAAAGCACGGGACTCAGCTTCTGTTGCTCACCGAGTCGCTGTATTCAGGGCTTGATGTGGGTAGTTTGTACATGGAGTCAGTGTCCCTGGTCTTGTCTTTGGTGTTCTTGGGCCTTCATAGCCCTACAGCTGTGGGCTCTAACAACTCACCATGGCAGACTTGTGAGAAACGAGAACAAGGACGTCCCATTCTAGACCAAGATGGAGAGAGAGAAGAGACAGATGATGGGTAATGGGTGATGGATGGAGGAGAGATGAGGGATGGATGATGGATGGAGAAGAGATGGGGAATGGATGGATGGATGGATGGATGGATGTTGGGTGGAAGGATGGGTGGGTGGGTGGATGGATCAGCAGATGGGTTGATGGATGGATGGGTTGATGGATGGTGGGTAATGGATGGGTGAGAGATGAGGGATGATGATGGATGAGAGAGTGGGACTGGATGAATGGATGATGGATGGATGGATGGATGGATGGATGGATAGATGGGTAGGTTGGTGGATGGACCAGTGGATGGATTGATGGATGGGTGTGGGGATGGTGGGTGATGGATGAAGGAGAGATGGGGGATAGATGGATGGATGGATGGATGGATGGATGGATGATGGATGGATAGATTGATGGGTGGATGGGTGGGTGGATGGATGGATGGGTGGATGGATAAATGGGTGGATGGATGGATGAATGATGGATGGATGGATGGGTATGTGGATGGGTAGATGAACAGACAGTGATGGAGAAGGGTGGAGGATGGACAGATGGATGGTTGGATTATGGATAGGTGGGTGAGTGCTGGGTGGCGGATTAAATAATGCGCAGAGTACAAGAGACGGGCAGGCATCCCCTGCAGGGGGAACTGTGTTCCCTCTGCCCTGGGACCTTTTCTCCCCCATCCCTGGCACAAGCATGCCGTGGGGAGGTCCCCTCTCTGGCCACTGTGGCCCATACACTGTCGAGTTTGAATATCCAGCGCTGTCTCTCCAACACCCTGTGCTGCGTCTGTCTCTGTGCACTGAAGCTGTCAGCAGAACCTGTATTCACTGAACCACAAGTGGGTCATAAAACCTCCATTAATGAGCACGAGGAACTCAGTTGTCAGAAACAGGAAACTAGCGTTTGGCTTGGGACTAGTGAGCCCAGCTGTGCACGTCCTGGGAATTCGCTAACTGGCTTCAAATGTGGCCACTCACACCCTGACATGGGTTTCCGTGTGTTCCCCGACATGGCAGGGAGGCTGTGAGGAACAGCCCCATCTGCCTCTAGTCACAAGCCAGGTCGCCGCCATCCGAGCACTAGAGTGTGAGCCCTTCTCCCATACAGACACCCCGAATGTGCCCCAGAAGAGGATGACCTCTGACGGCTACTCTATGGAGAGGCTCCCTGTGTCCTGCTGTGTCGAGAGGTTGTGCCCTAGAGCTGGCCAGGACTCTCCTGTGGCCTCTTCACAGCTATTGGAGCAGTTTCGGCTGCTTCTGGGGTTAAACAAGCCGCGTGGCCCCTCCCGAGGAGGACGAACAGGCCCTCGGGGTTCCAGTCCCTCCCCGCCCCCAGAGTGAAGGAAGAAGGGGCTCACTGTGTGTCAGCCGGGGCCTCTGTCCCGACTCCTCTGTGTAATGGAACAATCGCCAGGCCCGGCACTGACCTGTGTGTCCCTGCAGGTGTGACTCGTGAGGTCCCATTCCAGGCAGTGCCCAGTGCTCACCGTGACAGTGGCTGACCCAGAGAATTGGACTTTTTGTTTAACTTGGGATTTCATTGAGTCCCTGCAAAGTGGGAATCAGCATAGTCCCCAAGGAACCCGAGTATCCAGGGGATAGAGTGTTGTGGCCACAGCCTGTCCATCCTGGTTGTCAAATGAACGCATATAGAACGGTGGCACTGGGCCAGAGAGATGGTACAGGACTAAGGCACTTGCTTTGCAGGCAGCCAACCCTGGTTTGATCCTAAAGAGGTCCCCTCTGCAATGCTAGGAGTGAGCCCTGAGCAGAGCCGGGAGCGAGCCCTGAGCACAGAGCCGGGACTCAGCCCTGAGCACAGAGCCAGGAGTGAGCCCTGAGCACAGAGCTGGGAGTCATACCTGAGCACAGAGCCAGGAGCGAGCCCTGAGCACAGAGCCAGGACTCAGCCCTGAGCACAGAGCCAGGAGTGAGCCCTGAGCACAGAGCTGGGAGTCAGCCCTGAGCACAGAGCCAGGAATCATCCCTGAGCACAGAGCCAGGAGTCAGCCCCGGGTACCACTCAGTGTGGCCCAAGCCCCCCCCCCCCCCCCACACACACACGATACCATCACTGCGGACAGAGTGGTGAGCACGAACCCGGCTCTGTCCCGCATGCTCCGCGGACAGACCATGTGGCTCCTTCTGCACCTCCGGGTGCTGTGGGGACTCTAGACAGCGGGTGGGGGTGGGGACAGGCGGGTGCCGGGAGCAGCGGGCCCCGTCTCAGACCCTCCTGTCTCCCCAGGGCGAAGGTGAAGAAAGGCGTGAGCATCGTCAGGGTGACGGCCAGCAGCCCTGGCCTCTGGGAGGTCACCGAGAGCAGGGACCCGGCCGTCATCGTGTGCCGCAGGAAGGCCACCGCTGCCGCCACAAGCAGGTGGGTGCCGGCGTCTGGCCGCGGGCTGGGGAGGGTGCGGTTACCGTCCGGGCCCCACAGCTGTGCCGTGTCTGCATGTCCACCTCCCTGTGGTCAGCCACGGAGAACACCCCAGCGCTTCCCTCTGCAACCCCCAGAGCTGTGGCCTCTCTTCGTCCCGCTGGACGGTGAGCCCCAGCCTGGTGACCGCAGGCAAACGGCCATCTCAGAAGCCAAGACACGACAGCTGTGGTCGGGCTGTGACAGGGATCCCATCCGTGCTGCCAGAGTCCCGTGGCTGGTCCGAGTGTGAGGAGAGCTGCCCGGGGCTCGGGGCTGACTGGCTGGGACCTGGGACTTTATTCCTGCTCCCGGAACCCACGGCTGCCCACGACGTGGTCCCTCAGGCGAGCAGACGGAGGCTCTCAGGGTGCGCGGCCACTGCCTCCCACCGTGCCTGGCCGCCTGTGTCCCCTCATACTCCCTCGTGGCTGGTACGGGGTCTCCACCCTGGAACGTCTGGGCGAGTCGGGTGCTCGGACTCGAGGCAGAAGTGTTGGTTCTCAGGACACGTCCAGAGGCTCCCACGGGGGCCAAGGGGCCGTATCAGCCCACTGGCGAGTCTGAGGGTTGAGGAGTAAGGGCATCCGCGGGAGAGGAGTCGGCGTCTGTCACATGGCTGGGCTGGGGCTGGCCACTCCTTGGAGGCTGCTGAGTGCCGGCTGTCACACCCTCCCTGCTGGTCACTGAATAATGGCCGTGGGCGCCTCTCGGTTGGATTCATTCCCTTTAAGCAATTTTCCTGGAAACTCGAGCCCACCCCCACTTCTTCACTGCTGCTCGCTGCTGGGTGCTTAGTCAGTGGACGCCACTGCGGAACGGAGATGGTCATTACCGCGACGCCGGGCACATTTCGGTCAGCTTTCTGCCTCAGAGATGGGCGAGCAGGTGGCTGCAAGTCTGGCTCAGCCTGACCCCGGGAAGCGTGGATCCCCAGCGTTAATTTTATGATGAAAATCAGAGATATTTGGTGCCTAGTGTTAGTGAAAATGAGGAAGTGCCCTTAGCACCCCGGCCGACATGCCAGGCAGACTCCTGAGACAGTGCTCAAAGGGGCACGACTCTCTGTGGCAGGTCTGCTTGGTGCTGCTACCAGTGTGCCCAGGGTCCCCTACTGTGAAGACCCCGTAGAGATCAGAACCCCCCAGGAGCAGGGGCCTACGAGGGTCACCAGGCCCTCCTCATAGGTTGTAGTCCTTGAGACTCCTGCCTTGGGCAGGGGGCTGAGAGACAGAGCTGCAGAGCCCAGCGGGGGTCACACAGGGGCAGCCGTGCTCCCCCTCAGGGAGCCCCCCGCCGGGAGGGTGGGCAGGGGTGCAGTGACCACAGACCACCTGCAGCACGGGCCACGCTCTGCGCCACAAACAGACCACAGATGAACCAGGATGGACACTTCCTGGCCATGGATTGACACTTCCTGGGCCACAGATGGACCATGTCTTGAACTAAATCCTGAACCACGGAGGGCCCGTGTCCCGGGCCACAGACAGGCCACAGATATCTGCTCTCATTTCCAAATCGAAGGAACAGCACGGCGTGTGAGACAGAGCACTGGGGTATGATGCAGGAGGGGCTCGAGGGGCTCCCTGGGGAGCCGGCTGTGTCCTCAGACGCCGCCTGCGTTTGTCCGTCAGGCTCGAGCTGAGCCGTTGCCCCCGGCCCAGCAAAGGCCTCACCCTGCTAGCCCTGATGTTGCGTTACGGAAATTATGGGTCCAATTTCCAGGAAATCACGCCCCCGCCGAGTATCCCCCACCCCCAGTGCTCCACGCTCGGGTGCTGGGACTCTCGGAAGCTGCCTTAATTTCTCCCGGTGGCCTTGCTTTTATTACATCGTATATTTGGTGTTTAATATCTCTGATTTCCAGGAGAGCTCCGAGCTTAGACTTAAATAATTCAGCGCACGTTTCCGTGGGGGCCAAGGCGGGTGGCTGTGCGTCTGGCCCGGTACAAATGGCCTTGGCTTCCAATGCAGCCCAGTAGCGGGACACCAGGCCTCCCGGCTGGGGCCTCATGGCAGAGACAGCGCCCCCCGGTGGCCATCAGCAGAAATGCTCCCCCACACCCGCTCTCAGCCTTACTGCCAGCGCCCCCCTTCACCCCCTCCCCATCCCATCTACACATGTGTCCTATTGCCGTGGCCCACAGATGACACAGCTCATCCCTTCCAGAAGGCCACAAGACGCTGAGCTTGATGGGGCAGACACTGCACACAGTGGAGTTGAGGGAGAATGGAACTGCATCAAAGGCAGAGAGAGAAACAGAGAATCGGGGTCTCCCAGAGGAGCCCCTTCCTCCTGCAGGCTGGGGAGGTGCCCCTGATCCTGCGCCCAAGAGCTGTGTCAGGTCTGCGCTGACTGGCATCTGCCCTGGGGCTCCCGCACACGCCCGCCTCCTGCCCGCCCTCAGGAAGGTCCCTGAGACTCCTCACACCTGGGCACCCTCCCAGCTCTCGGACGCCAGAGAACACAGTGCTCAGTGCCGGGGTGTCTGCTGGGAGTTGGGGGCTGGGGGGTCTGGAATCGGGCGCACAGCCCCCCCTCTCCCTACACTCATCTCCGACTTCACCGCGAGGACACGATGACCCCCAGGGGACGCCCCATCATGGCTCTCAGCCCTGGCCACCTCCTGCCGCTTGGGGGGTTCGGCCCGAGTTTCCTCTGAAAGATGGGTTTCATTTCCTGGGGGAACATCGCAGAACACTGAAGAATGGGATTCCATTCCAAACACAATTTTCAGAAACGTTTCCCTCGATGCTGAGCCTCGGGGTGAAACCCAGAGCAGGGGCTGCTCGCCCGCCCCATGGAAGGTGGACAGCCGGGCGCGCTGAGGAGGTCACATGGCCCTGGAGGGCAGAGGGCCCCGTGGCTGGGACGTGCGGTCACTGCTTCGGGGGCTGAGGAGAGGTGGAAGGTCCAAAATAAGACCCTGCTCTCCCCTGCCAAGGCTTGCAGTCCTCTTCACGCCTCTCCTAAGACACCACCTTCGTGAGCCCCGAGCTGCCTGGGTCTCGTGGACCGGCCTAAGAGGCTTGATTTATATATTTAGTTATTTTGCTTTTGGGGTCGCACCTGGCAATGCTCAGGGGTTACTCCTGGCTCCGCACCCAGGAATTATTCCTGGCAGTGTCAGGGGACCATCTAGGATGCTGAGGATTGAACCCAGGTTGGCTGCGTGCAAGACAAACACCCTCCCTGCTGTGCTGTCGCTCCAGCCTTAAAGGGCGCGTTGCCACGTGAGCTGAACAGGAAAGAGCAATCTTGAGCATCTTGCCCAGGGGACACTGTCATCGAGGTCTCTTGAAACAACAGTGACCGTGGGTCTCGTGCTCCCGGAACTGACCCTGGAGAAGTCACCGGGCACCCTCTGCACAGACACGATCTCCGCATGACGTGTGACAATGACCACGCTGGCGTCCACAGGGCAGAGGGCGGAGGGGTCGCCCAGGGTGGGGTGTGCAGGCAGCTGTGCTAACAAGGCGTTTCACAGGATTTATGGGCAGGTGGAAATGCTCTCCATTTCCTGGTGTGTATACACACACACACACACACACACACACACACACACGGCCGAGGCTGTACAGATGAAATATAGCAACATTTTAATAACAGCAAGTATCGGGGCGAGCGTTCATCCTCTCCCAAGTCCAGAGTGTGACTTGCTGAGAAGCTGCCAACTCGACTCGCGCAGGCCCAGGAGTTTGAACCTCACGCGGCACCACAGGGCCAGAGCGGAGAAGAGAGAATCTCCCCAGACCAGCACGGGGCCAGCATGGGGAGCCGCCCGCTGTCCACTGCCCACTGTCCACTCCACTGCTGTCCGCTCGCCGTCTACCCACTGTCCACCACCGGCGTCCTCCTTTGCAAACTCTCTCCATCCTCGTCCTCCGCCTCTCGTGTGTGGGCTAAAAGGAACGGCATGGAACACTTCTGGGGTCAGAGCGGCTGAAGGAGCTGGAATGCACACGGGACAAATGTGCACTGATGATCTTCTAGCAAGAAAAGTTGGAATCGATCGGGTGCATGATAAGCACAGGCTAAATCTCAAAGTTCCAGGAAATAGGAGATCGGATCTTCCACTGAAGACGCTGTTCCCTCTTTGAAGCCTGAGGGCGGGGGGGTATGCAGACCCATTTCCCGGGATGGTCCTGGACCAAGATGGGGCCAGAAGCCCCAGGCGCCCTTACGGAGCAGATGGAATTGAATTTTGTGCGGGAAGAGCGTTTCCTCTTGCATTTATCGTGGATCTTGGCAGTGGCCAGTGCCGTGGCCCCGAACACTGGGCCTGCCGACCCCCCATGGCTGGGGAGCCTGTTGGCATCCAGGAGTGTTAGCTCGGGGGCTCAGACCACTGTCCCGGGACCATGGGAGTCACAGGCTTCTTCAACCAGGGACAGCTCGAGTCTCAAGGTCCCCGGGGACTTGGCAGCCAGGGCCCAGGTTGCTGTCCTGGACACTGTGCTTATCCACGCCGAGTGCCTGCCCCCTGCTGTGGCTCATGGAGGTGGGGGGCATCTGCTGGGGAAGGCCCCCCCAATGGTCTGGAAGCTCAGGCTGTGCCCCTGCGGGTCTGAGGGGGGAGCAGGAGGGGCTGGTCTGGGCCCCAGAGCGCCCTCCCCCAACTGCGCCGCCATGCCCAGCTGCCTGCTGCTGGCGAGGCCCAGGTCCCCGCAGGAGAGATGGGGTCGGGCCCAGCGTGTGGCGGGGGCTGCCGGGGGTGACGCGCCTTGTCAGACCAGGTCACATGGATGAAGGGGATCCTGTGGCAAGGACAGGACAGGACCGTCTGTCCTCCCTCTCTCCCCGTCTGTCCTCCCTCTCTCCCCGCCTGCCCTCCCTCTCTCTCCATCTGTCCTCCCTCTCTCCCCATCTGTCCTCCCTCTCTCCCCGCCTGTCCTCCCTCTCTCCCCACCTGTTCTCCCTCTCTGTCCTCCCTCTCTGTCCTCCCTCTCTCCCCATCTGTCCTCCCTCTCTGTCCTCCCTCTCTCCCCATCTGTCCTCCCTCTCTGTCCTCCCTCTCTCCCCGTCTGTCCTCCCTCTCTGTCCTCCCTCTCTCCCCATCTGTCCTCCCTCTCTGTCCTCCCTCTCTCCCCGTCTGTCCTCCCTCTCTGTCCTCCCTCTCTCCCCATCTGTCCTCCCTCTCCCCATCTCATTTTCCTTCTGAGGACCCAGCAATCCCGCCTCCTGGCGAGTGTCTTCTGAGCAGGGAGTGAGGGTGACACCGTCCCCAGCACTGATCATGGAGTGGCCCTGGGTTGAGGGACACGGGTACCGCGTGGGCAGTGGGACAGACACTTCCTCATGACAGCACAACGGACGCTCGCCCCTGGCAGGGCATGAGGCTGAGGTCTGAGGGGCAGCCCTAGGGGCAGGGTCTTCTGGGGCATTGACACGGGGTAGCGGCCGGGTCGTGGGGGAAGCAGATGGGAGGGAGGATGGATGGGAGGACGAAGGGAGGACGATGGGAGGACGACGGGAGGATGACCTCATACACACACACCAGAAACCCCCATATACACCACAACTTCACACACACCCACATATACCACAACCTCACACAAACAACAGAACCGCCACTCATATGCACTCACACCCACATACACTATAACCCCTTCACATGCACTCACACACACTCACACACACTCACACACATTCACACACACTAACACACACACACTCACACACATTCACACACATTCACACACACTCACAGCACTCACACATATACTCACACACACACCCCGTAACCCCCACCCCGCATGCACTCGCACACCCACAGTGTGACCGTGGGCTGCTCCCTGTTGGAGGGGCGTTGTTTTGGGGTGTGTGTGAGGCTGTCTGCTTGTTGGGAGGGACTCTGGATGTTTCGTGGACGGACACGGCAGAGGCCCGAGGCACACTCGCTCCGGCTGCCCCCGTGGCATGTGCTGGGGAGCCCCTCGCAGCCTCAGCCAGGCTTGCTGGGTCGCCCTGGTCCCCATGTGCTCCTCGTGGTGCCGCACGCAGCCTGTGGTCGGGACAGGCCCCGCACCCCGTGCAGCTGCCCCAGAGCCGCCAGCTCAGACCGTGTCCCCGCGTCCCCCCGCCCGTCCATGAGGGGGGTGACGCGCCCCTGGCTCATTAGAAACCACTTTCCTTGTCCGCCGGGATGTTCTGGTTAAGTCATTATTCTGCCTATGAATTATGGATGGAGATAATCCTATTAGCTGTGATTTCATTGCGGAGAGACGAAACAAACTATTCATTATCCAGGGCTTGGAAATGGCGCCCGGACAGCGCAGACGGGGCTGCGTCCTGTGTCCGTCCCGCACGCCTCCTCCTCTCCCTCTTCCCTGAGTCTCGGAACTGTTCCAGGCTTGAGCGGGGTCCCTCCAGCTGGACAAGCTGCCTCCCTGCCCGCACCCCTTCGCTGCACCCATGCCCAGCTCCAGTGCTTCTCCCTCGCCCCCTGCCTCGCCCCTCCCCCCCACCCACTGGCGCCCCGAGTAGGGGCCGCCTGTGCCCCAATCACCATCTTACAAGCCGGCATCACTCAACCAAAGATTTTTAAAAAGTGCTCACACAGCACCGCGCCAGAATGGACCCAGCCGGGACCCCCAAGCAAGGCCCAGGCTGGGTCCCAAACCCTACTCACAGCTTCCTGTCCCGAGACCCCACACAGCACCAGTTCCGGGACCACCTGCCCATGAGCTGCAGGTACCTGGATGCTTAATCACTGGATGCACAGACGTGCACACACACACACACACACACACACACACACATGCACATGTGTGCACACATGTACACACAGGTGCTTGTACACACAGGCACCCCACACATGCATACATACACAGATGTACACTCACTTGCATACACATACACCCCACACACACATGCATACACACAGGTGCACACAGTGCTTGTACACCACATGCAGGCACACATGCACACACAAGTGCTTTGTACACACATGCACCCCACACACGCACACACACTTGCACACACACACACACACGGGCCCTCGCACACAGCCTGGGACCCTCTGCAGGCCCAGCTGCCATGAAATCACCCTGATGTCCGTGGATCAGTGCCATACACATCCGCAGGGCCGCTGCAGACACAAACGTCTCAGTGTCCAAACATGTCCAACGGGGCGCCCCCCACCAGTGCCCACCCTGCCCATGCATCACCTGGGAGATGCAGCCACCCCGCGCCTGGCACACACCCCGCTACCACCCCCTGGCTCCCAGGCCTCTCCCGGGCCGCAGAGTTGGGCCCTTAGCTGGGACCCAGCTACCAACATGGCTCTGGATTCTGCTCTGGGCGTCTGTGGCACACGGGGACAGGGTACCCACGGAGGGTTAGCCACGGGTCCCGCCTGCCCTAGATCCCCGGGTTCCCCCTGGGGATGGTTCTTGGGGAGCAGCGTGCAGATGCCCGGCCTGTCCTGTGGGCCTGCCCCGGCCCAGCCACCTGCTGCATGCGAAAGGCATGCCTCCTGGGCCCGGGCACTTGAGTGTGGCCACGGAGGCCGAGGCTCCCCCGGACTGCCAACAGCACCTGCTGTCCCGAGGAGGCCCCGTGCAGACTCGGCTGTGGGAAGGGGACATGTGCTCATGCTGCACAGGCCCGAGGCGGGAGCAAGGCGATGGTGAGGGCAGCAGGGAAGAGGTCGTGCCCACGGGGACACGCATGTTCCTGGAGCGGCACGTCCCGCAGGGGCGGCTCACGCCTTTCCCCTGGAGAGAAGGAAAGGGGAGAAGCATCCTGGTGCTGTGACCACCCTCAGGCCTCACTGGGCACCCTCAGTGCCCGTGGACGCAGGGAGGATGCCCCGGCTGGCGCCCGCATCGGCATGTTGGGTGCTGAGCAGGCATGGGGGTCCTCCGGCACCAGCAGAGTCTCACCCGAGCCATGTCCAGGGCTGCACGTGCCCCTGCTGCTGCCTGCGCGTGACCATGTTGGTAGTTCTCGACCTCGTGTGGCGGAAGGGAGAGACCCGGTTGAGGGCATGACCCTGACGCTCTCCCGCAGACACAGTGCCTGCTAGCTACCATCGTGTCTGAACCCTCTGGGTCCCTTTCATGAGTCGGTCCCTCTCCTGCCTTTCTGCCCTCACAGCTGCCTCCATGTGCTGGCCGGGCGAGCCTGGCCGGGTGTGAGCTTACAGGGCATGTGGAGGAATTCCACAGAGCCTGCCGTCCTGAGGAGGCCCCGTGCAGACTCGGCTGTGGGAAGCGGACGTGTGCTCACGCCGCATGGGCCTGAGGCGGGAGCGAGGAGACTGCAAGGGCAGTGGGGAAGGGGCCGTGCCCACGTGTCGCCCCGCAGAGGCCGGGGCAGCTGGCTGAGGGCTGGGGCAGGGACAGAGGGGCCTGGGACCGGGCCAGCCCTGCAGCTTGTCTCGGGCCCGTGATCCCGCCCAGGCAGGAAGGATGCCCGGGGGAAGGGGCCGCCAGTCCTCAGGACCTGCCTTCTGGTTCCTCCAGTGGGAGAGTTGCAAGACTCACCTTCTTCCAGAAACGCAAATGCGTCCCTTTAGCACACGGAGCTTCTCTTACAGAGAGCCGGGGAACACCTCGGGGCGCGTGGCGGGGCCAGCGGTCAGTCCTGGTTTCACGGCCACACAGTGGGCATGCGGCAGGCCCGCCCCAGACCTGGGAGCGGTGTGGTGGGCACACAGGCGCCCTGGACACGCCGACGGGACTGGAGCCAAGTCCAGGCTCAAACCCTGCGGGGGGCAGGCGGGATCCATGTCCGCGGCCTCGCGCCTGTCCAGCTTGAGCTCCTGCGATGGAGAAGTTGAACTCCCGGGGGAGACTTTCCCAACAGGACTTGGGGGCCCCTGAGAAGGCGGCTGGTTCTCCAGGGCCCAGAAGGTGCCCACAGGTCGGGCCCACGAGTGAGCTGGCTGCTGTGTCTGTGTGCAGGGAGAGGATGGTGGGGAGTCCAAGGAACATTTGCCACAGAGAACACAATAAGGCAGAGGCGGCAGGGATGCCGTCTGAGGGGAGAGCCCAGGCAGTCGCTTCTGGAGAAGGAAACTGAACCGTTATTCCTCGAGGCATTGAGAAGTGTCTCCTCCACAGTTTGGGGACCCACTGAGAAGGAGCAGGTTGGAAACAGAAGGGTCTGGAAATCGTCTTGGAATGTAAAACTGATTTCTGGAAGGCAGCAGGCACACGAGCTGCCATTCTTGACGAGTGGGGACATTGGGGAGGAGGGGACGCAGAAGACCCGGGCCGGGAGCCCCAGGGGAGGGGGCAGGGGGAGAGGTCTCCCAGAGACCCCCACAGCCCACCCCCTCCAAACAGCCCTGGAGACTCCACACCAGTGAGATTCTCTGGAACCCACAGAGCAAAATGCCGGGGTCCCAGGACCCAGGCAAGGCTGCGGGGGGGACCACCCTCGGTGCAAGGGGGCAGAGAGCAGCCGCGCCTGGCAGATGGGGGGAGGGGCTCGCACGGGTCCCGTGGGGCCCCTCTGCACATCAGGAGAAGGCAGACGGTCGCTCAGACACAGACACACAGATGGGAACATTTGGGGCGCAATTGTGGAGAAAAACAGCCACAGCCAAAAGGGAAAGGGGCTGGATCCAGGGGTCACCCAGCTGGGGGCCATGCACTCAACTGGGCAGCCAAAGGCCCCGGGTCCAGGGACCGGGCAGGGACAAGCACCTAAGCGGAGGGCAGGGAGCTCGCTCGCCATGGCTGGGACCCGAGGGGCAGCTCTTTGGGAACAATAGAGGAACTTGGGAATTCTTGGGCTAATGAGCTAACGAGGAAGGGGAAGGCCACGGGGACCTCTGCCGCCCAGAGCAGTCGGACGTTCAAAGTGCAAGTTGGAAGAGCCACAGGTCACCGTGATGTTGGACGCTGACCACTCCAGAGTCAGTGACCCTGAAAGGCTGGAGAAGGACAAAGGCCAGGGAGAGCCGAGCCTCAGAGCCCGGAACCAGCCTCCCTCGGACTCACAGAGCCGAAGGAAGGAAGGCTGAAGCCGCTGTGTGGATTGTTTCCAAGTATAGAGGCAAACGTGTGAAATAACCAAGAAAAATAATTTTCTGGGTGAGAGATGAGTCTCAGGGAAAGGCAGTCAGTGTTCTAACCCCGAGCCTGAAATGCATCGATAAAACATTCAGTGGTGGGCCTGGAGCGATAGCACAGCGGGTAGGGTGTTTGCCTTGCACGCGGCCGACCTGGGTTCGATTCCCAGCATCCCATATGGTCCCCCGAGCACCGCCAGGAGTAATTCCTGAGTGCATGAGCCAGGAGTAACTGCTGTGCATTGCCGGGTATGACCCAAAAAGAAAAAAAAAGAATTCAATGGTAAAATTATCTAAAACTTTCTCGTTTCAATTTTCCTTGATAAATGAAATATATATTAGGTTCTTCAAAAGGATATTAGTAAAAATGATCTGTCACTGTCACTGTCACTGTCCTCCCGTTGTTCATCGATTTGCTCGAGCGGGCCCAGTAACAATGTGAGATTTGTCTGTATTTGGCATATTGAATATGTCACGGGTAGCTTGCCAGGCTTTGCCATGCGGGTGAGATACTCTCGGTAGCTGCCGGGGTCTCCGAGAGGGGCGGAGGAATTGAACTCGGGTCGGCCATGTTGGCTGCATGCAAGGCAAACGCCCTACCCGCTGTGCTATCGCTCTACTTATCTAATATTTCTACTTAATAAAAATCTGTACCGTACATGATATAAATACAGTGAATATTTAACCTTTGTGAGGAACATGATCTTTTATATTTCAATTTCTTAAAATTCATTCCATTGGCCACTTGCTGATTTCTGCTTCTGCCTGCCAGGAAGAAAAAAAAAAACCTTCAGCATTTCAATTCTTTTGTTATTAGCATTACCAGCTGATTAAAACAGAAAACACATTTTAACAAAAAAGCACATTTTGTAGGGTAAATAGAGATGAATAAAAAGCAGAGCTCAGGGGCTGGAGCGATAGCACAGCGGGTAGGGTGTTTGCCTTGCACGCGGCCGACCCGGGTTCGATTCCCAGCATCCCGTATGGTCCCCTGAGCACCGCCAGGGGTAATTCCTGAGTGCCGAGCCAGGAGTAACCCCTGTGCATCACCGGGTGTTACCCAAAAAGAAAAACAAAACAAAAGCAGAGCTCAGTCAGATGCCAGGCAGCGGACCAGCTCTCTCTTGGGAAGAGCGGATTGTCCCAAGCAAAGTGCCACTGTGGTAGACCTGAGCTCAGGGTGCTGGCCGTCACCGCGGAGGTCACCATGTGCAAGATGCAGATACTGGCGGTTTGCGTACTGATAGTCCCCACTCTGCTTGTATCCGCAGGCACTGATACCTCCCACCGCCCACACACAACACACACACACACACACACACACACACACACACACACACACACACACCTCCCAGCCCATGGGTAGGGCTGGTTCGAAGGGAGCTGTTTAGCTGCAGGCGGGAGCAGCACTGACACCCGTGGTGGGTGACTTGGGAAGGTACAGTTGCGTCGTTCTGCATGGCTGGAAGCACTCTGCTCACAGTGTCAGCTGCTCTGTGGGTCAGGACAATAACGCCGGGGGAGAAGGGAGAGCGTTGCCATGATTGGAAGGGCAAGAGGGATGAGCCGAAAACAGTCAGGACCCCACCCATTGGAAGACAGAATCTTCTAGAACCAAGCTGCTTGGATGCACCCCGGCAGGGCTGGACTGGCTCACACTCGCCATAGCCCAGGAGTGGACAGAGAATCAGATGGTCCCCTGCCCCGCCTGCTCCTTGAGGGACTCAGCCCAGGAAGAGGAACTGAGATAAGAGCTGGGTGGCCACTTGGGGGGGGTGGTCCCCCAGTGACCTCAGCTTGGAAGCGTGGCAGGGGGGCGGGGGTGTCGGCTTCCCGGCCAGATGGCCTCCCGCTCTGGGAGCGAGTCCCGGGAGCGAGTCCACCTGCGGCTGCTTCTGGGCGAGCTAAATAAAGGCAGTCACGCCTCCCCAGTATGGGCCAGGCTGAGCACTGGGCAGGTGCGTCTGTCCCGGGAAGGGAGGGGGTATGGGCCCGGTTTCTCCGGGCGGGGGTCCGGCAGTGCCTAGGCTCGCCCACGGAGGGTCTGTGCCTCTGCACCAGGGCTTGCTTCCCGCAGCGCATTTGCAAACCAGATCGAGGCATTTGCACTCCGTGGAGTGGCCCCAGGGCTATTTTCGGTGCCTGCAGGCTGAGCGCTTGTCACCGGGAGTGTGGGAGGGGGTCCTGGGAGTGGGAGGGGGGAGCCACGGCGGAGAAAAAGACAGTCCAGAGTCAAGCAGCGACTGGCAATTCCTGTCTCTGACATTTTTAGGAACAAAGAGAGGGCAGATTTCCAGCCCCCGCCCCCGAAGAGCAGCCTTCAGAAAGGGGATTCTCATCACGGAGGCTTAAGTTTCTTACCTGGTAACGTTTGGTGTTTGAACACACAGCGAAAGACCAGAGAAGATCTGCGCCATTCTGAGCTCAAGGTTTACATCGTGCGAATGTGTGATTGATTGCTCAGGGGAGGGTGGCCGCCGCACGCTCGCTAGTGAGCACAAAGGGTTTCCGGAGGCGTCACTCTGCAAGGCCACAGCCAGGGTGCCCAGGAGAGCCCTCGGGAGGACGCTCGGCGCAGCAGGGCAGAGCCGCCCTGCCCTGAGCCAGGGCTTCCCAGTGACCCCCGCGCCAAGCAGAGCCTGGGAGTCGGGGCTGTTCTGCTTGTTTGGGGGCCACACACGGTGCTCAGGGCTCAGGGCTGACTCCTGCCCTATACCTGGGGGTCACTCCTGGATGGACTCGGGGGCGTCCATGGTGCTGACTGCACTCTGCTTGCTCTGGCCTGGAATAGGGCTGGACTGGCTGTAGCGACCACCCCCGGGACCACCCCGGGGCAATCTTTCTCTGAGACACCAGGAGGGCAACCAGATGGTGGCACCAACAAGAAAACGGAATGTGTTCTCCGTCCTGAAGTTGGGGCCCCCGTGCCGAGCAGAGCCGCCCTGCCCTGAGCCGGGGCTGCCGGGGAAACTGAGAAGGCTGAGGGGCCACGCAGGAGGGCAGACGAGATGTGTTGGACAAACTCGCGCCAAGCACGCTGCCCTCAAGGACCTCGGGACAGATGATGGCTGGGAGAAGGGAGCCAGAGGAATGAGCTGAGAACAGTCTGGACCCCACCAACTGGAAGAAAGTCTTCTAGAACCAAGCTGCTTGGCACCAAGCTCGGAGCCCTCACCATAGCCCGTGAGTGGGCAGAGCAGCGTGTCAGGGGTCTGCCCAAGGGTGGCCCCTCTGCGCCTGCGCCCATCCAGTACTCCTCTGCAGACTTGCGGGTTCCCGGGGGCTTTGGCAGGACTCGGGGAGGGCGTCTCCCTGGGAACACAAGTCACTTTCGAGCTGGGCCATAGACACTCTGCGTCCCGGGTCCGCCTACAAACACAAGGATGGCACAGAGACCGGGGGACAGGGTGTGCAGGATTTGCACGAGGCATGGCACCAGGCCCTCTGGGGCTCGTGTCCGGGACTGGCAGCCCAGCGCGGGCAGCGTGAGGGCGGGCTTGGCTCTCGTGGGTCGCGCCGTCTCCGCGGGCTGCGCTATGTTCGCCATGGCAACAGCTGTGTGCCTTTTCTGCATCACTCACTCTGGCTGCTCGGCACAGCGTGGCCTTGTAAGTGACACGGCTGGTGGCCCGCGGTGCTCTCTGGGGGCTGCACCCGCGTGTCCCCGAGCACTTGCCCCTGAGCGACACTGGGACACGCCTTCCCGGGCGCCCACGTGCTCAGGAGGCAAGAGGAAGCCTGTGCCCGGCTGCTGTCCTGTAAACACAGTGGACGCCCCAAAGAGGCAGCGGGCAGCATCCGCCCTCTCCTGGACTGTCCCTGCAGGCAGGAGATCCCCAGGACCTCCCGTCAGCCTGGCCGTGTCCCACACGGGAGCAGCCGGCCAGGGCTGCCCGGCTCTCGGGGACGCGGCGGGAAGGGAGCGACTCCCTCCCCAGATGGGCAGTGCTCTGCTGTCCCCTCTGCAGCCCGACTCACTGTCCAGCCATGGCACTGGGCCTCTTGCTTCCTTCCTGCCCATAGACCGGCCCCTGGGGCACCGTGGTCACGCAGACTCAGTCTTGTGTTAGGCCGTTCTGTGGTGCCAAGACTGCGGGCATCTCCGGAGCTACCACGAAGACCCTGAGCAGTGCCGGCTTCTCTGCACGTGCCTCTCTGAGCACCCGCAGGCACCGGGCCACCTGGGCGTCCTTGTGCCTGACCCAGGGACTCTGAGCCACCACGTCCATGTAGGACGCGCCCCGCGCAGGGCCGCAGAAGGAGACACTCGCAGTGGCTTCTGAGCCGGCAGATGGCAGGAGTTCAGCTGCCACCAGGGCCTCAGAAGGTCTCGGCCTCACACTGTGTCCCGGGAACGAGGTCCCCACGCTTACGGCACATACGTATCCGGTAGCTTCCCGCCCTGCATGTTTCTGGACAGAACCATAACTGATCACCAAGGCTGCGTGGCCACCCCTGGGAGCCAGAGTCCTTCATCCCCGCCCTCCCGGAGCTGATCGATGGCCTGGCCGCCCAGCCGTGCCTGAGGAGTGTTTGCTGCCCAGCACAGAGCCTGTTTGATTCAGTTTGTGAGTCTGCTCGATGGGGAGGAAGTGGTGATAATGAGAAGCATCGTTGCGTGTTTCAGCAGCGTGTTCCAGCTGATGCCAAAGGAGACTCCTGGGCAGGGGGCCTGGAGTGGGGGGCATCTCTCTGGGCGTTGAAATAGGGGTTCCTGTTTCCCGAGAGGATGGGCGCCGGCCTCTGTTCCCGGGGTCCCGAGGTGGTAGAGGATGGGCTAACCAGTAAGTCACCTGCCCACCGGGTTGGTGTCCCCCAGAGCTCAAGGACGTGCTGATCCACGTGGAGAGAATTCCCAAGACAGGCAGGGGGAGGGGTGTCTGTGTCCAGATGAGTGGCCCCTCCCTGCTGACCCCACGGATGGCCCCTCCCTCCTGACCCCCAGATGAACACCAGGACGGACACTCGGAATGACTGCAGAGGAAGGGATTCTGGCCTACCAGAGCAGGGTACAGCATGCACCGGCCTCTCTGTTCACTCTCCTGGACCACATGTGCCCGTGGACAGACATGTTTCGTTTCTCAGTACGTGGCAATGAATCCAGAAGCTCCGACACCGACAGCCCCACGGCACGTAGCGCCTCCTGGCCTCCGCGCCCAGGGGGCTGCCGCAGCACCTGCCCTCACGACGCTCTTCCTCTCCCGGAGGCGGCTCTGCACGTGCTGGCAGCTGGCTGCCAGCCGGCCGCTCTGTAACGGATGCTGCAGAGGAGACTGTTTGCCTCCTGAGCAAACAAGCCGCGCTCTGAATTATTAAACCTGGAGATGAGATGGAGCTGTTTCCAGCAGTTGATCTTGTCTCCTTACGCTTGTCAGGGCAGAGAGACGAGATTTGTGTGGCTGCTGCTTCCTGCCGCCACTTAGAGGAACGGGGAATTCCGGCCCGACCCCAGATGCCCGCTGGACGCCCGTGACGCGCTGTGAAGGGCGCAGAGGGACCCTCGCCCCCAGGCCCCGGAACAGTGACACCTAGCCTGTGTGCACTGGACCTTCCCCTGCCCCCCAGGACCCTCCCCTACCCCCAGACCCACCCCTGCCCCCTGGGACCCTTCCCTGCCCCCAGGACCCTCCCCTGCCTCCCAGAACCCTCCCCTGCTCCCAAACCCACCCCTGCCCCCCTAGGACCCTCCCCTGCCCTCCAGGACCCTCCCCTTCCCCAGACCTTCCCCTGCCCCCACAGAACGCTCCCCCGACCTCCAGGACCCTTCCCTGTCCTCGAACCCTCCCCTGCCCCCCAGGACCCTCCCCTGCCTCCCAGGACTCTCCCCTGTCCCCCAGGACCCTCCCCTGCCCCCAGGCCCGCCCCTGCCCCCCAGGACCCTCCCCTGCCTCCCAGGACTCTCCCCTGTCCCCGGTACCCTCCCCTGTCCCCAGGACCCTCCCCCGCCCCCCAGGACCCTCCCCTGCCCTTCAGGACCCTCCCATGCCCCCAGACCCTCTTCTGCCCCCCAGGGCCCTCCCCTGCCCCAGAACCCATTCCAGCTCCCTGGGACTCACCCCTGCCCCGGGGTGAGCCCCCTCTGCTGGTGTTCGCTCCCCTAGTTGGGGTCCCCCTCAAGGCCTCAGAAGGGCAGAGTTTGTGCTGGAGGGTCCCTGGGTTCGACTCCCAACACCACTGAGAAACACAGGGGGGGACTTAAGTGCCCCGAGAGCCCAGCCTCTGAGCTAGCGTGTCAGAGGCCTGGTTTGCCCCCATACACCATGGACCCCAGCTTGGAGCTCGGGGGTTGGGGGGAGGACTGTGCCCTGCAGGTTCTGGCCAGTTCCGCTCCTGCCCTTGCAGGAAGTCCACTGGCCCATGAGAGAGGCCAGTCCCCACTGTCTAGCCGGGCAGGTCACAGAGCTCCCGGGCAAGATGGCCCAGGCTGGGTGGGCCTGGTGCTCAGTGCTGAGTATACAAGCGGGGACAGGCCTGTCCTCAGTGCTGGCCACCAGGGTCAACTCTGTTGTCTGGCTTCCACCTGTGACCCAGGGCTCTCTGCCCCCAGCCCTGGCCCAGGGCTCAGGGCCCAGCCGTCTCGCAATGTGACGGACAGCCAGCGATTAGTGCTTTGCTGGAGTGAGTCTCTGACCGAGTGTTACCTGGGGACTCTTTCCCGGAGACGATTATAGGAATACTTCGTAATTGAATGCCCCCTGTCAGCTTAATGGACTAGAAGGAATTTAAGTGCTCGAAAAACTGTGATCAGATGTTTTCATCTTGATTAAAACGGTGATGGCTTGAAAGATGGTGAATTTTAAAGAAGGAACCTTGTAAACTTCTCCTGATGTTGATTACCAGGTACACGTCGGAGGGGCTGATATCCAGATGGCAAGTTTTCGGTTCTGCCATCTAAGCTCTTTCTTTAAGTAGCAGGATTTGCTCTGTTCGGGGGCCACGTCAGGTGAAGCTCAGGGCTTACTCCTGGCTCTGCGCTCAGGGATCATTCCTGGTGGGACTCGAGGGATCATCGGCGGGTGCAGAAGATGAAACCCAGGTTGGCCGCACGCAAGGCAGACCCTCCCGCTGGTTACTGCCCTGGTCCCAGGAAGCGACAATCTGGTGCAAATGTTGGGGGCCTCTTGCCATACACAAAATGACCGTGATCCAGAGGCTCACAGATGAATATTGGAACAGAGCAGCTCGCTCTGGGTCTCTGGACCCCAGTTACTTAAAATTTTAGAAGTCTAGGAGCGCGACATCTCATACTTTTTTTTGGATAATGGTGGTGGGAAGGTGTGATGTTGGTGGGATTGGTGTTGAAATATTGAATGTAATCCGTTATTGTAAGCAACTTTATGAAAATAAAATTTAAGATTTTATTTTATTTTTTTTTTTTTGCTGGAGCGATAGCACAGTGGTAGGGCGTGCAGCCAGTCCGGCTGAGCCGGGTTCGATTCCTCCGCCCCTCTCAGAGAGTCCGGCAAGCTCCCGAGAGTATCCCGCCTGCATGGCAGAGCCTGGAAAGCTACCCGCAGCGTATTCAATATGCAAAACACAGTAACAAGAAGTCTCACGATGGAGACGTTACTCGACCCACTCGAGCAAATCAATGAACAACGGGAGGACAGTGTGGACAGCGTGTTTTTATTCAATCACTGTGAGATAGACTCTTACAGGCATCTCATTCATAACAAGCGACACACAAAAAAAATAATCTAGCATCTGCCAGTGGTGCGGGTTTGAGTGGTGGTGGGTAAATTTGAAATAATGGTAGTGGGAAGGTGTAATGGTGGTGGGATTGGTACTTCAACACCAATTATTGAATGTAATCCATTATTGTGAGCAGCTTTATGAAAATAAAATTTAAGATTTTTTATAAAAGAATAAATGTTGGGGGGGTCTCATGAGACCTGCCCCCAGTACAAGCGTGTGCCCAGAGCACGGTTGGGTCCGAGAGTCTGGACCCTAATGCACCGTGACCAATTTGGAGAGTGTAAAGAAAGACGAAAGTGCGTATGTTGAAGTTACCAAGAGCCAGGCAGGGTGGGCGGCCGGGAGCTGGGCTTGGGGCATTGGGAACCCATTCTGACCTAGGGGGCTGTTCTGTACATGGGGTGGTCCTGCGCCAGTGCCTGGCTGTCGACTCGCTGTGCAGTATCTGCCCTTGGGAGGTGCTGAGCAGGTGTTTGTCCCACACAAGCCCGTGGGCTGGCCTGTCGCTGGGTGTGTCTGCGTGGAATGATGAGACTCGGTGCTCCAGTGCGTGTTCCCCTAGGCGGGCTGTTTACTGAGGGGGGATGGGAGGGGGTGACGCGCCCACCTGCCAGGCACCCCAGGCGGCTGGCACCTCACTCCCTGTCCACTGTGTGTAACAGCAGCCCTGTGTGTTGCCGTCTCTGCAGATGGGGCCCATCAGGGCCACCCACCCCTGCAGGCCGAGATGCCGGTCAGCCCCTGCTGGCTCCGGTGTGGAGCGAATGCCTCCCCCCGGACTCGGGACGGACCCTTAACCTCAGAGCCGCCTCCAGGTCCTCCTCCTGGGGCTCGCTGACGCCACTCCACTCCCAGGGGCAGCCCACTTCCCGACTATGCTCAAGTCCTCTCCACGTGGCCCTCAGAGTGGGCGCCCGGCCCGCCCGCCTACTGGTGCTTTCTTCATTCCGGAGGCAGCAGGGAAATTTCTAGACGTTGGCTGGCAGCTACTGCCCATAGGGAGATGGGAAGGGGCCAGCAGGGGGCAGAGCAACAGGGACTGCCTTGGCATGGATGGCACACGGGGCCAAGAGCACCGGAGAACTAGGGCTGCGTTCCTGGGAGCTGGTGCAGCTTTCCTGACCCCAGGAAAGGGGCCCCTTGGAGCAGCAGTCCCGGGCGCTGTCCAGGGTGCTGAAGAGGCACCCTACCCGCAGAGCAGTGCTGTGTCTGTGGAACAGGGCAGGGCCTGCCCACGCATGTCCAGGAGGGACCTCTCCCCGCTCCCGGCTCTCTCACCCAAGGTGGGGCTGTGGGCAGTGCTCAGGGGCGCATGTCCAGGGCTTGGGGGCCCAGAGAGGGACCCCTGGACAGCAGCAGCCTCAGACACGCAGCCACACGGGCCCCTGCACGACAGCCACGCCTGAGCGCTGGCCGGGGCCCCCTGACCCGGGCGTTGCTGGTTTCAGGGACTCTGAGAAAGAGAGACGCCCGAGGCCTTGGTGGCTGGCACCGGGAGGGGCTCCGAAGCCCACTCCCCTCAGCCTTGGCTGTCTGGAGTGTGCGGTGGATGGGGCCCACCCATGCCCCGGGGCACACGGATGATGCAGGCTCATGGGGTGGGGGGAGTTGAAGTCGCGGCTACATCTCCCCCACTCAAAGCCGGTCAGGGAAGCCAAGTCAGGACGAGATCCCCAGCGTGGTTGGACCCTGGTGGCTGCCCACATGCCTTGCACCCAAACGGCAGCCCCGCTTAAAGTTTATCTTTAATTAGATTAAAGTCACGCAGCTCACCTGAATGTATTGACATTTACACCCAGAAATTAATTGGCATTCCATTAACCTCCATCGGCAAATTAATTCTTCGCCTGAAGACCCGGAGCCCTCAGGGGGGGCTGAGGCAGGATTGTGTGTTGGTCTGGGGGCGGCAGCGTGCCCACAGGCTGAACCTCCAAGGGGGAACCGCCTCTTCCCCCCCAAAAGGCCACTGCAGACTCACTTGCTCGTGCTCTCTGGGGGTCGCTCCCTATGCGGGCGGCAATGGCCCCCACCCCCCCCCGGGCGATGACGGCTGTCACTGTCAGTTAATCCTTTTTGCGTGTTCCGGCAGAGCAGGGCAGACCCTCCTCCCCACACAGCGGCTCGCACACAGCATGCCATCGGGCTAAATCAGGACACATCCCCCCGCTGTCTGTCCCAGCACGGAGCCGACGGTGCTGGCGCCTCGGGTGAGGGTCTCTCTCATGGCTGCAGCCGGGTGGGCCTGATGGCGCCTGACCCACTCCCGCCCTCGGACCCGGGAGGCACCTTCCCGAGAACTGGGTAGAAATGTGTGCAGTGAAGGCCGGCCAGGCAGCAGGAGTGCAGTCACGAGAAGTGTCGTTCGTGGGATGTTCCGGGCAGCAGGGGGGTGCACTGGGCCGGGTGTGGCCACGGCTCGGTTGGACGGGGGGGTTGCCACAGAGACGGGCCGCTCTGGGCACAGCCGCTCCCGGAGCTTGTGGCTTGGGACCAGCTTGTCCCTCCCTGTATCCTGCTCCGCTGCCCATGTCCTCACTCTGCTTCCATGGCGAGCACCTGTGGGCGCCTGATCCTGCCCCTCCCCCATCCCCGCTCCACCCCTCCCCCATTCCTGCTCTGCCACCCTGTCCCCTGCCCTGCCCCCTCCTCTGCAGACCTCACCCTTTGCCCTCATCCTTGGGAGCAGCGTGGGACCCCGAGGGTGGATGGTGGAACGGGGTTGGCGTCAGGGAGTACTGAAGTGGCCACCTCGGGAGCCCAGTTCAGAGGCAGACCAGGGGCACCGTACCCAACCCCCTCACTCTCTCTTTCTCTCTCTCTTCACAGCATGGACAGCGCCTCGGACGAGGTCATGCGGATTGATGTGGCTATCGCAGAGCCCGGAGAGCCGGCGGCCGCCCAGCTGGTCACATGGCAGGTGGAGTACCCGGGAGCCATCACGTCCGACCTGGGCATCTCCAAGATCTACGTGAGCCGCAAAGAGCTGCTTAGCATCGTCCCGCTGGCCACGGTAAGGGGCGTGGGTGTGGGTGCAGGCTGCTCGACTCCAGCTAGTGTCTGTGCCGTCAGAGGCATCCACCTTCCGCAGAATCAGGATGCTGGCGACTGCCCTGCTCACAAGGCACAGCCTGTCTGTGCTCCTGAGTGCTCTGAGCAGCAGGGTACCCAGACGACACTGAGTCACGGGCTGGAGCCAGGCACGCCGCGGGGGGAGTAGGCCACGCTCCCCTTCGCTTTCACGAGGCCGAGATGGAGCTAGTGGGGCTTGTGGGCTGCCGCTCGGGGCGAGATGCAGAACTCCGTCTCCAGGAAAGCTTGGAAATGAGATGCAGTTAAGAGCTTACATTCAAAGCTAATTTTCCAAAAGACCTTTTTCCTCCCTCAATGTTTGCCTATTTTTCCCCCTGAAGCCTACAGTCGTAAAAGCTTTTATTATTTTTAAAATCTGCCCATGTATTTCTCTGCATTTTATTACTTCAGTATTTTCTGTTCAGGAAATGATGCTTTATTGTCTCTGGGTAAATGTACTTTTGTCCTTTGGGAGAAAGTTCCAGGAGGAGGGCCATTAGCGAGCGTCTGCATTTGTCTGCCCGGTGCCCTGGCGACCGTGCCCTGGCCACCCAGACCAGGCTGGGCTTTGATTCCTTAGAACAGTGGGGGTTCGTCTTTCTGGGGTGAGGAGCCAGTCTCAAGGCTCGACAGTGCCCGTCCGCCTCCCTGCCAGCCCCACTCAGGGCTGGGACAAGAGGTGGCTGGTGACTGGGGCAGCGCTAGCTCGTCCTACAAGGTGTTTTCTGCTGCGGACCCCAGAATGTTGTTTGTGGATGGGCAGTGGGATATAATCCATGGGCAGGTGTGGTGGGGTGTGGCCAGCTGGAGGGGGCACCAGGGAGGCGAGGGTACCTGCCCAGCCCGCTGCAGCTGTGACAGAGAGGACGGAGACAGGGTGGTGGGCGGGGGAGATAGGCTAGGCTGAGCCGGTGGGCTAGGCTGAGCCCGGCCGACGGTGCTCAGGACAGAAGGTGCTCGCAGCCTCAGGGACCGGGTACCCCGGGGCAGAGAGCCAACTCCATGAGGAAGGAGAGTGTTTGCGAAGCGAGAACCGGATGGGGCGGATGGCAAGTGGTTGGTGAGCCCGTGTCCCATCAGGAAACCAGAGCCAAGGGCGCGGGGCCCGAGTTCGATTCCCAGCATCCCATGGGGTTCCCCAGCACTGCCAAGGGTGATTCCTGAGTACAGAGCCAGGAGTCACCCTGAGCACCACCGGATGAGACCCAAAAAGACCAAATAAATAGGCCATCCCGTTGATCATCGATTTGCTCGAGCGGGCCCAGTAACATCTCCATTGGAGACTTTGTTGTTACTGTGTTTGGCATATCATATACGTCACGGGGAGCTTGCCAGGCTCTGCCATGTGGGCGAGATACTCTTGGTAGCTTGCCGGGCTCTCAGAGAGGGGCGGAGGAATCGAACTCGGGTCGGCCATGTTGGCTGCGTGCAAGGCAGACGCCCTACCTGCTGTGCTATCGCTCCAGCCCCACCAAATAAATAACATTAAAACAAAGAGGTCAGTCCCCAGATGTACCTGATATGGGGAGAGAGCAGAGACCAGGAGCCCGTGCCCCCTTGCCCGGAGTTGCCGGTCAACTCCGGAGGGAGCTCAGAGCTGCCCCTGCTGTGGCCGGCATGTGACCAGGTCCCTCCCACTAAGGCCACGGGTCACACCTCCTCGGCTTCCGTCCCTCCTCTTGGCCTCTCTGCCAGGCCAGCACTGGCCACAGCCCCTGGAGAGGGAGCTGGTGTGGCCACAGGAGCGGCTGAGCTAGTCTCTGCTGAGCACTGGCACTGAGCAAGCACAGAAATGAGTATTCCTGGCAGTCTCCGCGTACAGAGCCCGTGTGCGGGCCAGACCAGGCACGGGGTCTGTGTGCTAGGCCATGTGCAGGCCACGGCCGAGACCCCTCCAGACCACGTTCCAGAGACCACACACAGGCACGGACAAAGTCCACGATGAGACACGCTCAGAAGCCCGCACACGCCCAGGTCAGCTTGTGTAGAGCCGACAGCTGCCGGTCTGGCCGCGCCTGCCCGTGCAGGGCTCCCTGCACCCACACCCACGCCCCTTACCGTGGCCAGCGGGACGATGCTAAGCAGCTCTTTGCGGCTCACGTAGATCTTGGATGGGCAGTGGGATATAATCCATGGGCAGGTGTGGTGGGGTGTGGTTCGTGGACCCATGGACAGGTGTAGTGGGATGTGTGTGGATCCGTGGACAGGTGTGGTGGGGTGTGGCTCATGAATTCGTGGACAGGTGTGGTGGTCCATGGTCTGGGGATCTGTGGACAGGTGTGGTAGTCTGTGGTCCATGGATGGGTGTTATGGGATAAGGTTCGCAGATTTGTGGACATAGCTTGGCCCGTGGACGGATGAAAGGCCAAGGCATCTGGGCACACGCTCTCGGTGCTAAATGAAGGAAAGCTTCCCTACCTCCCAACAGGTGTGGTCCTGTGAGCGTGGGCTGCCGTGGTTGATCGGCCACTTGGTGTGTGGAGAGAGGAACCTAGGTCAGGGTCCCCTGATTCTGGGGCACTGCACTCCTTCCTGGGCACCACCTCCTCCAGGCAGTCTTCCTGGCTGCTTGCAGTCAGACCTGTTTTGTGCACCCAGCACTGTCCCGGCTCCTGGTGAGGAAAGTGGCTAACTCAGGGGCGCAAACGCAGGAGCTCCGGGAACTCACTGAGGTTCCACCACTGGGAGCTGGACCAGGCAAAAGCTGGGCCCCAGAGTGCTCAGAGAGCTCACAAGTCCCTCAGGATCCTGACTGAAGCCGCCGAGACCCCTCCGGGGCTCGGGCCCTTCCAAAGCTGCCTGCATGCCCTCCCGACGGCTGTCTGGTCTCCCTCACTCACAGGAGCAGGTCCACTTGCAGGATCCAACACAAAGAGTAGCCAGACCACCTCTTGCTGACCGCAGGCTTTGTGGGGGTGCAGGAGTCCCGTTCTCTGCTGCCGCATGTGTCTCCTCGAATGCAGGACCTGCAGACGGTCGCCCCATCCCCACAGGCGCCTCACCACAGCGCTGTCTCCCTGAGGGCCTCCGAGTCGAGTGTCTCTCCCACAGACCAGAGCTGCCCAGTGTCCACTCTGGAGGAGGCCAGCTGGGCTCTGGGCTTCTCTGAAGCGGTGATGCCTGGCGGTCACCAGCTGAACCGGGAGCAAGCAAGAACTTGTGCCTCCGGCCAGGGTGGGGCAGGGCTGGGGACCAGCCCACTGCCAGAGATCTTTGGAACCTGCTAGTGCCGGACGCAGCCTCAGGGAAATGTGTGCGAGAGAGTGGATGGGTCCTCTGGGCAGGCGTCACCGTCACACACACTCCTGAAGGGGGCTGGTCTCAGAGGTGACCTGGTGCCGTGACCACAGGGCTGTCCCTGGTCTCACGGCGGCCTCCCCCCGTCCCACCCATGCTGCCCAGGAGTGTAGCCCCGTCCAGGTGCCTGAGCCTCTGTGAGCTCCCGGCAGCCTGGGGACGGGCAGTGAGCACTGCATTAGAGGGTACGGCAGCTCGGCCACCCTGGGCACCAGAGCAGGAGACTCTGAGCCAAGACGTGCCGGCCACGCGCTCACCGGGCAGGGGCGAGGGGGGCCGAGTTCTCCTGGGAGCCACCTTGCAGAGCTGAGCTCTGGTCACCGGACTGGGCCCCCAGACCCTTGAGAGAAGGAGATACCAGGACAGGAAGTGGCCAGTAGCCTTGTGGGGGCAAGGGGTGAGGGCAGCCTGGCTGACGGTGGACGCTGGTGTCCCAGGCTGCCACACAGAAATTGCTTTCCCAGGCTGCAGGCCTGAGGGCCCAGCTGTCACTCAGCCCTGCCTCGAAGCAGCCAACACGGAGCGAATGGGCCTGGCCGGGCCCACCAACTGCTCCCAGACGCCCAGGTATCTGTCCATAGAATTTACAGGCGGCACCAAAAATATGCTTCTGGGCTTTTACTCAGCCATTCATCAATTAAGAAAACTGCTGTCCACCGCAGGCTACTGGGAGCCCAGTTGGACGGCATCCTTGCACTGTGCCGCAGGCCCAACGGCCGCCCACGACGCTAAACACTGGAGAATGTGGCTCCATCCAACAGGAAGTGGGGGGCTGCTCACCTCGACCTCCTGTCGGGGGGCTCCCCAACATATTGCAGGCGGGCGACCAGCCCTGGTGATGTGTCAGCCCCTTGGGAGGGGGCGAGGGGCAGAAGGCGACTGGGGGCCTCTCCCCTTTGCCGTGAACAGTCGCGGTAAGAAGGGGCGCTCGCTCAGAGCAGAGTGAGCTGCGGTGGGTTCCTCTAGGGGGCTCGGCCGGGGCGACTTTGCACCAACTCCCTTCCGCAAGACCGCCGTCCACCAGCAGCCGGGAGGGGCCCCACTGCCCGCTGTGCTGACAGATCCATAATGAAAACGAAGTGCTCGGCCCTCGCCAGGGTGCCGCTCGCGCGGGATAATGAGGCGACATATGGGGAGAGAAGGCGCGGCTCAGCCCCGGGCCTGCTAAGCATGTTCACGGGCTTCAGAGAGTCCTGTCCATAAATCTCACCTTCCCACCTGGAGACGTGACCAGCCCGTTAACTTGTTTCGTCCAGGGCCGTTGGGACTGCCCAGGGTCCGAGAGCCCGTCTCTGGGACACACAAGGACACAGAGCCTGTGTTTGTGGCCGGAGCAGGCATCCAGCCTGACTGCCCAATACCAGTCCAGGCGTCCCAAACGCCTGACGTCCTCGGGGAATGCACTGCTGAGAGCTGACAGAGGGGACGGCTCACCGCGGGCAGCTGGGCACCTCCCTCCCTGGCCCCTCAAGGGCTTTCATGGGAAGCTGAGACTGTGGGTCACATGGTTGGCACAGGACAAGCCACGTGACTTTCTGTGAAACTCGGTATCTCAGCGTGGACCGCCACCACGCCCGGACACGCCTGCACGGCAGCAGGACCCAGGGTGCGGGTCTGTGGATGGACATGGACACCTTGCTAGGG